GTAGTGCTGGAGATAATTGACACCATGAATCCTGCAGGGCTGTCCATAAACCAGTGGGAGTAAGAGGGGGTGGGGATATCTTCTGAACATCACGTTGGAAGGCATCCCAAGTATATTCAATAATGTTCATGTCTGGGGATTTTTAAGGCCAGCGGCACTCTTCTGAATTTAGACACTTCCGCTGGCCACCAAAATCCCCAGACATGAACTTTATTGAGCATATTTGGGATGCCTTCCAACGTGATGTTCAGAAGATATCCCCACCCCCTCTTACTTCCACTGGTTTATGGACAGCCCTGCAGGATTCATGGTGTCAATTATTTCCAGCACTACTTCACATATTGATCGAATCCATGCCACGTCGTGTTGCGGCGCTTCTGCGTACTCGCGGGTACCCTACACGATATTAGGCAGGTATACCAGTTTTTTGGCTCTTCAGTGTATATATTGCACGATATTTACCATTTCACTTCTGGAGTTGGATTTCCATCCACCTGGACTTCAAATTTTAGCAATTCTTCTGCCATGATTGACTTGTCTTTCAATCCTTTGATGAAAGAAGGTGCCGCTGTTGAAAGAATTGAACAATTGAAAGGATTAAAAATAATTAAAAAGATATCATTTTTAAGTGCGATGTTGATGTGGAGTTTTAAGTCATAATAAAATCTACACTTTATATTATCTATGAAAAGGCTCAGTGATTAAGGCACTGAACTATTATTTTGATCCCTAATGGCGGCATGAAGTCCACCCGGATTCAGATCGATATGTACCAACTTGTCTGAGAAGTAAAGTAATTTGCGCATAATGCTGACCATATTACCCCAATCATATCGTGTGGTCATGAAATTGTGGAGCCCTAACCTTTATGACCCCTTAGGCCATAACAAGTGGTTTCAATAATGCTTTTCTGAGAAAGAATTTTCATTGATGTTGAAAAATTGGAGAACTTTTTAAAACATCTTTTCAAAATAAATTTTACTAAAAAAATATTTTGAAATGTTTCATATTCTTAAAAATATAAATTTTTTTTTCAAAAAGACGAACAAAATCGATGAACTTTATTGCAGAGTATTCATTTTAAATCGATGAATTTTTCGTAACCGTCTCCTAAATTTCAATTTTAAAACTTTTATTGGTGAATTTCTTAAGATATTTATGGCTATAAATGATTTCATAGTAATAGTTTTCAATTTATAGATTATTTGGACAGTACCTTTCACTTTTAAAGGTATAAAAAAAACACACCCTAGAATTGACTTTTAATGTGCATAACAGTAAGAGGTATACTCACATTTAACAGTGAGAGTACAAGATGATTCTGCCTCTCCCATTTCGTTAGCGGCTTTCACGCTATACTTTCCACCATCGTCTTTCTTCACATTCTTGATCACCAATGTGAAGGTTTCATCGTCTGCAAACAAGAATCGAATACGTCCCCCCGTTGACACTTCCTTCCCTCCGTGGTACCTTTTTTTAAAAAACAATATTCTCGTATTAATCAGTTTTCAAAAAATAAGAAACAATCTTTTACCGTTCAGGGCTAAAAAGTTAATTAATTGCAGATGTGCTTTTTTTTAATTCTTCAGCTTAAAATGCGCGTTTAAGAAAATGAACACATCTCAAAATGCTTGTTTAAAAAAAAAAAAACGCAGCTTAAAACGCGTGCTTAAGAAAATATACTCAGCTCAAAGTGCGTTATTAAAGAAAATGAACACAGCTCAAAATGCGTGCTTAAATAAATGAACGTAACTCAAAATGCGAGCTTAAGAAATTGTGTACACAGTTCAAAATGAGCGTTTGAGAAAATGAACACAACTCAAAATGCGTGTTTAAGGAAATGGACGCAAGTCAAAATGCATGATTAAGAAATTGTACACAGTTCAAAATGAGTGTTTGAGAAAATGAACACAACTCAAAATGTGTGTTTAAGGAAATGGACGCAACTCAAAATGCATGATTAAGAAATTGTACACAGTTCAAAATGACTGTTTGAGAAAATGAATGCAGTTCAAAATGTGTGTTTAAGGAAATGGACGCAACTCAAAATGCATGATTAAGAAAATGGACACAGTTATAAATGCGTGTTTAGGAGAATAATCACGGTTATAAATGCGTGTTTAAGAAAACGAAAACAGTTGAAAATGCTTGTTCAAGAAAATGAACACCTCAGAAATGCTCCTTTTTAATAATCAGTCCGAATTTGAAAACTAAACGAGATATTTCATGCGAACTTTTCCTTTCTTTCCTAAACACTATCATTAGGATGCAAAGTCACGGGCTTCGGAATCGGGTTTATTACACATGTAACTTTTCAGCCATCTCTTCGTATTCAGAAACCTAAACATTAGGGTAGGGGCACAATAGAACATTGACTAACTCGAAAATATCCCCTGTCAGCACTGCGTATGGTGTAGGTCAGAAGCTGTGTACGAACTAACTACAAATTCGATTAAAACGTGGTAACATGCGTTAGTAGAGAGCGCTGCACACTTTAAATCAGTATTTCTAAACATTTTGGTGTAGGGACCCCACAATATTTACGAAAATTTTGTGGGAACCCATAAGTACTACACAAATTCAACACACATATGTGATTGAAACTGTCGTTTTCTTCACTTTCAATACTGCAATATTGCCACTTTAAGTCATTAACTTTAATTTTTAACTTTATAACATGGAAAAATGTGAAAATCTTAAATAAGTAACAAACTTGAAATTAAAATACAGTAAAAAGAAATCAATTCAGTTGCTTCGGAAAATTCTTAAAGGTATTGTCCTACTTATTATTATTATCTTTTTATTATTATTATCTTTTTATTATTATTATCTTTTTATTATTATTATCTTTTTATTATTATTATCTTTTTATTATTATTATCTTTTTATTATTATTATCTTTTTATTATTATTATCTTTTTATTATTATTATCTTTTTATTATTATTATCTTTTTATTATTATTATCTTTTTATTATTATTATCTTTTTATTATTATTATCTTTTTATTATTATTATCTTTTTATTATTATTATCTTTCTATTATTATTATTATCTTTTTGTTATTATTATTGTCTTTTTATTATTATTTTCGTATTATTATTCAATTCTTATAGGTCTTGCCTTATTTATTTTCAGATACATTACATACAAATATATGATAGTCTTAAAATTATTATAATCTGTAAAAAAAAAAAAATAATAACAATTTGGGCGACCTCTTCGGCAGGTCCCACTACTCCTATTGAAAACGCGACCCATAGTTAAAGAAACCCTGATTTAAACCATCGGGGTCCTTTTAATGCAATTTCACAATTTGCAAAATTTAAAAAAAAATAGCACAGTACATCATTGCGTAGCGTAATTACAATCCTACGTAATTTATAGACGTATTTACGTAAGCTATGAACGTAATGAAGTGACTTCTTGACGTAATTCTTTAAATTTTTTGAATACGTCAACCAAAATTGTGCTTAATCATTTCGTTGTTAAAGTTAACTTACCACGTCACTTTTGGTTTGGGGAAACCAGTAATTTTTAATTCAAGCATTGCAGATCCTCCCTCAGTAGCCTCAGCATCTGTTAACTCAGCCTTGATAGATGGTGCTTCTACTTGTCGCACGACGCCTGCAATATGAACAATGTATAAAGGTAAAAATACAGCCAAACTATTTCAACTCTTAATATTGGTCAAACGCTTACAAGCTTGTTCAAGAGATACTGGGTACGTGAAGACCACAAAAGTGATTGCTTTTGTAAATTATTTCAGCGTATATATTAAAAGCAATAAAGCATTAAAACGCTGCTGATTAATCACATTTTAGGCACGATTAAATACGTATTTGTTTACTATATAAAGCACATTTGCGTAATAAAACGCAAGCGTTTTTAAAAAAGAAGTATTTATAGCAAGTTTCGAATATTAGCCAGCAAACATTTATTCCAAAAAAGAAATCCAAATTTAGTTTTTTTTTGTTAGCTGAGCTATACTATACTTACCAGGTTTCTCATAATCACTTCCGCTAGTTTGATCAATTTCTAAAATATAAGATTTATTTCATGTGATATCGATGATGTGACAAAAGTGGAGAAAAAAAATAACACTGATATAAATTAAACTTAACTATAGCTACTATATTTTAATTTTTCATATGACACGTCTTTACAAGGAAAAATATTTTAATTTGGGGCAATATAATGACCCATATTTTTTTCATGGGATACATTTTCAAATTAATATTTTTTAGTATTGTTTTCTAAATGAAAAATATACAAATTTTTGCGTTTTTCTTGATAATAGGACAATACACACTATCCTCTTACTGAAAGGAAATTCTAGTGTTCTTTTTCAAAAACGTTCTTCTGTGTAGTATGAAAATGTGGCTTATTATTATATATTATTCAAAGCCCTTCATTTGCATTTTAAAAATGCTTTATCCCAAAATTTATATTTCTAGTTCTACAGGCAAACCTTGTAAAATTCAACAAAATTGGAATATTAATTTATCTACAAATTTTGAACATTAATTTACGAATTATGATTGTTTGTTACTCAATTGCATAAAGAGAAAAACAAATTAGGGATGCGGGAATTCTGTTGGTTTACATTTATTTTATTTATTAACTTTTTTTTTAAATTCAATTAGCTTTTTTTGTATACTGTATATAATTTTAAATGCCTGTACACATTTAATTAAATTCTACATCTCCTTGTTAGAAAAAATAGGAACTGCATTAAGTGGACGTGGGATTTATTTAACAGTGTGAAAGATGTTCTCTTTATTAATTAATGTAAAATTGAAATGAAATTGCTGTTTCTAACCTTGAACAGTAAGCTCTGCACTGCAAGCAATTTTGCTTCCTGTACTAGTACTGGCTACACATGTGTACAGACCAGCATCCTCTGGTGTAACGTGTTGGAACATGAGGGCGAGACTGTCCTGTTCTTCATTAAATATAACCTGGAAACGTTCGTTAGCTTCAAAGAACTGACCATCTTTAAACCTGTAAACCATTGAATAATTTTAAATTGAAATAGATATTACTTATTTCAAAATATATTTATTTCGCAAAAAAAAATAAATAAATGGCTCGGTTAATTGGAATTGTATTATAACCTTAACTTATATACAAAAGGTTAATTAGCAAAAATAATATAATTGAAAATATTATAGAATTATTTGAAAAAATAATTTTTATGGCCAAACTTTAAAATAATTCCTTTAGTTTTCTTAGCATTTATCTCCAATTTGGATTTAAAGATTGAAATTACCTAATTGACCTTAAAGGAATATCTAAAAAAAATATTAAACAGGAAAACTTTTACAATTAACAATTTCAATTCCAATTTATAGATGGATAGTATTTTTTTGAAATTTGCAATTAAGTTCAGTTTCAAAGCAAAAAAGACTATTCTGCCCCAAATTTAAGATTAAAAAAAACTTTACAATATTGCGCATATAAATTAAAAGAATAATATGGTAATGGCTCAAAAGTTAAAATGACGTATGATGAAAAGTTAGTTATAAAGAAAAAAAAATTTGACGGAAAAATATAAAATAAAATAGCAAAAGAATGTCACTAAAGATGATCTTAAGGTTATATAATTAGTATTAAACTGAAAGTAATATATCCTCAATCTAAAAATTATGATAGATAGTTAAAACAATCTCTAATCTTTTGCTTCGCAGCCTATACAAGGAAAAAAATTCTGGTAAAATTACCTTACAGAATGGTAATGGCATTTCTGCTAAGAAAAATAAACATAATTCTGGTTAAAAGAATACACAGTATTTAAGCAATTTAATCGGTAATTTTGCGTTAATATACTAATAGTTAACCAGAAATTCAGTTCTTCCAAATCCCAGTTCTTGTAATCACACTGTTTGAAAAAAAAATGCAAAACTGAAAAGTAAGTTTAACCCAGTAAATAGTATTTATGCCATTCTCAAAAATATCATGAAAAAATTGCAAATTTCAACATACATTATAACACTGTATTTTATTGTTTACCAACTCGCTTCGGTAAAAATTACAAAGCTTTTTGATCTTTCCATCTTTATCATATTCTGGTAGTTTTGACCATATTTTTTTTCTCAGTGTGGAGTATTATTTTTCAAAATACGTATATTAATTTAGGCTGAGAATGAAAAAATGAACCAGAATTTAAAAAATTATTAAATATTAAACGAAACAATATTTTTCACTTAATTTGAAGGGGAAAAATAAATCACACATACCATCTAAACTTTGGAGTGAGAGGACGAGGAGTTGGTTCTCTTCCTTGTTCCAAAACATCTTCAAGACCTTTAAACACATCTTTATGTTCTGCAAAGAACATTATGAGGTTCAATAAAGTAAATCAAACATTATAACGAGTTTTTAAAAAAATCAGTGCGTAAAACTTACTGACAACGCTCAAATTCCCAACACTTTTGTCTTCTCCTTCTATGTTTGTGGCTATCACAGTATACGTGCCAGCATCACTAGGTATGACGTGGTCCAAGATCAATTCAAACACTTCCTTACTCTCGTATGAAACACGGACTCGATCATCAAATTTTAACTTTTTGCCATCTTTTAATCTGGTATAGAAATAAGAAATTTAATTTCACAACTCCCTAAACAAAAGGATGCATTTTTAAATCAAACTAAATTAATTATTTCAGGAAATCAAAATATTTGATGCTGTTTTCCTTAAACATTAGATGGATAGTTTATATTTTGAGGTGTTCCTTGGATTATCGCCAAAATGGTCGCCGGGATGGGAGATACTGTTTCATTTATGGCAACCCGAGTATTTTACGTTATATCTCGTTATGTTTTTATAGTGTACTTGTTATGTTTTGATAGTGCCATGTTATATTTTTATATTATGTTAGGATTTTGTATCGGTATGTTAATGCATGCTTTTTTTTATGTTTCTATTGTGATATGTTTTCGCCTTTTTATATGGCGGGATGTTGCATGTAAACATGATTGCCGTAAAAAATTGCCAGTTTTCGCCCAGAGGCACTTCAAAGTATGTTTTTCCTTGTTAAATTACGTTGAATTCATCAGCTTTGGCTCTTAATTATGTTTGTTACTTTTTCTCCTTATAAGCTTTTCGTTCTCTCTTACAAGAATTATTATAACAGTCAAAAGAAAATTGCATAAATTAGGGATAAAATAAAATTATACAATTGGACATAAAAATTAGATACAACTAATACACAGATTTTTTGTACTAATTTCTCGAAAATTACAATTCTTTTCATGCAAGGCAATGAAAGTTCATAGGCCATCATTGTGAAAGTAATAGTTTTTATGAAAGTTCAACGACCTGAAGAAGCTTTAAATGAAACAAAAAAGGCTTTAATGTTATTCACAAAGATTAGAAAAACTATAGTATGATCAATAATATAAAGTTCTTCAATCATTGTTAAACACATTTAAGCAATCTTGAATAAAACGACGCACATTGAAATAAAGATCATATTGATATTTAATTTCTTATATTTAAGTTTATCTTGATTGTACGGAATTAAGGCAATAAAAAAATCAAGCCTTAATTGCAAACAAACTAAATAAAGAGTAAAAAAAAATGTGTAAAAAGTATCACATTACATTTTCACTTCCGGTTCAGGATTTGCTCGGACTACTATTTCAAAACGTACACTAGTCCCTTCTAGAAGTTGAGTCTCCTTATTCAATTTCACTTTGAAAACTGGGGCATGGGGTAGAATTGTACCTCCTGGTGTAGTAGGTCGTGAATCTTCTTTTGGAAGACCCAATAGAGCTGAAACATTAAAAAAAAAACAGGTTCTTTGTTAAAAATAACTCTTTTCTTTAATTTTCTTATAATTAAAATCCAAGAAAGAAAATCAAATTACAATTTTAATAAAATTCTAATATTATTCAATCACAACAAGTTGGCTTTGTCAAACAGAGCCCTAAGCAAACCGGTAGAGTTTATTACAACTATTTTGGGGATGAAGGCAAAGAATGTCGAAGCAAAAGAGAAAAGAGGAATATAGACAACTTTTTTAGGTTATATTAGAAAGAAAGAAAGAAATAAACTGACCATTTAAAGACGTTTTTACCATAGTAAACCAAAGAATCGGAATTATGTACCAGTTTGGAATTCTTCCCAAACGAAATACGCTCATATTTCGCTCGCTTTAAATTTCATCACCTATAAAAAGTGAATATCTCCACTAAGCTTTACTACTACTCGCCAACTTGCCATAGAAGAATAATAGTTTATTCGCCAAATTAATCTATTTGATTTACTTAAGTAAACCAATATTTCATATTTTAGATATAATATTTGTTTAGTGTGAAGCTTGAATTACAAAATTATTCCACTAAATGCAATTATGTTAAGAATGCTTTACGTTTGAAGCAAGGAAAAAAAAATCACGTTATGAAATAAATTTATGTATCACCATTAAATAATCATACTGTTTGAGAATTTTGCACGCGATCGAATGTCCCAAGAAATGTTTTTAATTAAAAAATTACATTTAAACAATAGTTTTCTGAAGTAAAAATATTACAAATGACCTACCTCTAACCTTTAACCAATATTCTCAATTGATAAATTCAAAGTTTAGGTATTTTAGGACAGAAAAGGATGTTGATCAGTTGCATTAATACTCAATTCATAATTTAACGCATTTATTGTAACATTTGCTTTAGTAATAAATAGAGCATCATGCAACTGAAAATCTCAAAATCAGTTTGACTGCTGGATAAACTAAGAGGAATTAAAAGGTGATTAAATAAATTACCTTCTAATTTCTTAAAACAGACAAACAGACTTTATTTTTTTAGTTTTGTGATAGTATAGTTGTATCTTTTTCACTAAAGTAATTGTTCGTGATCCTAAATAGGCATACATTTTTGTAATAATTGCTGTTGTTTCTAAAGCCATGGTAGCCCGGTGAATAAAGCATCGAATTTCGGTACAGACGGGTAGAGTTTCAATCCTCAAAACCACCCAGACCCACCGAGTACATGCGATATACGTGCTTGCAAAACCTGTGGAATCGAAAGCCCTGTGGTCGGTCGCTGAGTAGTACCATAGGTACAAGTATCTGGAGAAAATTTCGTTACCCTTTAGACCAATGACTGAATTGTGGAAGTAGTACTGCAATCTATCTGGGGGATTCTGAGCTAAGTTGCACTTTCACCCTAGCGGTGCTCTCTTGCCAAAAGAAAGGCACTCTTGCCTGATTTAATTCGCAAAAATGGCTGGCGAGCTGGCTTGTTCAAGTTACATTTGAAAAAATAATAACATACTCTTTTGAGTTCATTTTTGAAAAAGTTTCTAAAATTATGCATTGTAGGGGAAGGTCGTAAGAGTACTTACAGACTTTCAGGTTGAGAGGAGCACTGCATGAAGCACTTCCTTTTTCACTAGAAGCCACAACGGTATACAGGCCACCGTCCTCTCCACTGACATCCTTGATGATGAGTGTGTGTTTTTGACCCGTAGAAGAAGTCTCTATTCGTTTGGACTTGGCAATTTTCTGATTATCCCTCAGCCATGTGACACTCGGTATCGGTGATCCGTCCGTTTCACATTCTAGCACAGCGGTCTCACCCACTTAATAATGTAAAGGCAAAAACATCGTTAACATATTTATACAATATCATGGAATGAACTAAACTTAGTATTTCGCAAATAGTATGCAAATACTTCTCGAATAATGATTACAAACGATTTTAGTAGTAATCACCATAACATAATTACTTTTGTGTATACCTAATATACAATTTTTTGTAAACATTTTAAAACTTAACTTCAAAGCAAAGCTGACAGAATGCTTAAACGCTAAACGACATCTATTTTTCTAATTTTTTTCAATTCTGATTAATTTTTTCAAATTTTCAATAACTATGTAATTTATTTGCATTGCTTTTAACGCAACTCTTTTCATATCTGCTTTATTATTTCTAAGTTCCTTAATATGTCAAACAAAATTCAATAGCTTTTTTTTCAGTAGTATTGCTTTCAATGCAACTCTTTTCATATCTGTTTCATCATTTCTAAGTTCCTTAATGTATAAAACAAAATTCAATAGTTTCTTTTTAATCTAAAAAAAGTTTTTAATTAATAAATTAAAAGGTTGATTAACATGAGATAAAGATTAATAAGCATGAAAATTTTTCAACATAAATATAGCTATGGAAAACAGCAGTGTAGAAATACTTATTTTTGTAGTACCTAAAAAACATCTGAGGAAACAATGTGTTCGATGAAATCGAAGATGTAAAAAATAAAAATATATTTAAATATCAATATTTTTAAAAATGCTTTCATTTCTAAAGAGTATTTAAGAATCCCGAGCTTTTATTGTAACAAAAAATAAATTAGTAAAATAATAATTTTTAAAGACCATTTTATAAGTGATATATCAAGCAAAAAGGGAAAAATAAATTAATTATAATTAATTCAGCAATTTTAAATCCAATGCCGCCACCCATTTGATAATAGATTCTATGTCTTTGACATTTAAAATGAATTAAAATTGTTTCCTAAATTCTAAAGTTTACTTTTTTATGAAACATTAAAAAAACCTGTCGTACGTTAGTCTGATTAGTGTTTAATTGTATATAATTAATTTCCTATCATTTACCCTTGGTTTACAACAATTAAAATTATTTTATTTTAGCCTACAGCTTACATAAACAAATTATAAAGTATTAAAAAAGTCATTTTTTATATGGTGATAAATTTTTAACATGCATGACTTCAAACTGCTTTTTGTAGTAAAGTATAAATAAATTTGACAAAATTAATGTCTTTTAAAATAGTAGTAAAACCAAAAATGAATCATGACACACTTATGATACCTTGCTAGCTTTAAAAATTATTAAAGCTGTTAATAAATGTAAAATGTATCACAAAAAATATAAAACGCTTAAAACAAAAACTTCAAAAAATTGAAAAAAAAGCATGTTAATTTACTTATATTTTAATACTTACATATGCATGTGATTCCCTTCAGAGGCTTGGAGAAGCGTGGCTTTTCCATTGGATCAAATTCTATAAAGCATGAAGCATTAGTTTAGCAAAAGCAAAACAAAATTTTAAAAAAAAATTGTTTTTTTTTTTCTAAAAATAATGTATTAGTAAAAATAACAAAATGTTGTTTACAGTTTCACATTATTTAATATTAAATATACACTTGCATGTTATAGAATATTTTTAGCAAATCAGATACTATGATTAGAAAACAATGATTGTAAAAATAATTAATTTATTAGAAGTTAGCAGATTAATTAAAGTAAAAAGATTCCTGGATTATTCAGCGTTTTTAAATTAAAGCAGCATAAAAGAAAACGTACTTTTTCATTTATTTTAAACTGTAGGCAATAAAATCTTGTATTCTCTAAACGAATTTATTAAATAATGTTTTGTCTTGAAATAATATTTCACTAATACAAGTACGTAATAGAAATCAGCATAACATATTTCATACCTTTTTTAAAGGATTTATTAAAAAAAAAACTAAAAGGATTTATAAAAAAAAATACGTTTAATGAAAATAGCACATCATGAAAATAATAATTTGAAGAAAATTGTGCATTTTTATTTACGCAGAAACAGTTTTTACACAAATGAAGTAAAACCTTTAACCATGAAACATTATACCATGAAACATTAAACGATGAAATGAAACTTTAAACTATAAAAATTTATTATGAAACAATGAGCCACATAAATACCAGAGTTCGTTTTATTTTATTACTTTAAATTTCATAATTTTTTTAAATTGCAATGGCAGAATAAATTGCGTTGCCTTATACCTTACATTTACTGAAAGTTAATAAATATTTCCATGTTGAATAATTTAACTTACATATTTATTAAATGATACTGTATACACTTTAAGATTCAAAATTTTTTTTTAAGTATTTAAATGTAATGTTTTAAAGTATGTACTTTAAAACACAGAAATTGGTTGTTTTTTTTCTTGAGCATTTTTGAAACAATCATTTTTTTAGCAAAATAAATAAATGCATATAGAAACATAAAAATCTATAATCCGCAGCGATTTTTTACTCGTGTATAGATAAAAAGAAAAATAACTGAATAAAAATTTTTCAATTTGTATTTCGTGAAATGAAAAAAGTAGTAAATGAGGTTTTAAAAAGATCATTCAACAAAATTGCTTTTATTTATTGCACGCCCAGTAATAATGTAAATAAATACTAATGTAATGTGAAAAAACACAAATCTAATGTTTTATTAACTGACTTATTTAAAGCGCAATATATTTTAAAGTTATAACAATCAATAAAAATTTAAAACAATTTAGATTAAAATGTTTTATAAATTTTTAATTCGATGTTTTTTTTTTCAATTAAAATGCCTTGATATAAGTGAATGACTTTTTAAAAATAATCAGTTGATTTAAATCACAATTTGCGGTGCTGCTGCATCACACTTGTGTCAACATTTTCCCACTATAACTTTCTTAAATTTTTATAGTTTTTCAGTTATAAATAATCTTTTACATTTATATTAACATAATTTTCTCAGTTTTATTAATTTTACCCCGTTAACATTTCAAATTTCGATTGCTTAATTTATATGAATTTTGCTATATCGATTTTGTTCTGCTTAACTGCAACCGAGACATGTTTTCCTCTTTTGGCGACACTTGAAGAATATTTTTGCTCACAAAACGGGATTATTTTTTCTTCATTTTCTTGAGCTAAATCTGAATCGTGACTTAAACCAAGATGCAATATATAAACCCTAATGAAATCAAGATGCAATATATCAATGAACCCTGATGAATACTGATAAAAAATAAAACCCTGATGGAAAAATGTCTTTACAAAAGAAATTTAAAAAACAATTCAACTGCGTTTTTTCCGAAAGAGTTATTCTTTTCCTTTGTCAGCTGATCCTATTAGAAACACAATATACTTAGATGGGTTAAGCGGTATTAAATGTGTCGTCTAAGCAGATAAAAAGCTGAACAATTAAATCGCTGTTGCCAACTTTTGCAAAAGAACCTTGACGCAATGCCAAAAACCACTGAATTTAAATCTCGAAACTATTGTCTGCAGGTCCAACAGAAACGGGTGTACAAGAGATGTATTGTGACCAGGTAATGACCTTTGTAACTATGTAGAACAAAGTAGTAAAGCACTTGTGTATTTGTTTGAACATTGAAATCAGTTTGGAATTTAATTAACTGATTTTTTGCTTGCTTAAGCAATTTTCAAAAATAACCAATTATTTAAAACTAATTCAAGTGATAATTTACAAGAGTAGCAAGAAATTAACTAATTGAGGAACTGAATAATTTCTTTATGTAGATAAATAAACTCAAAATTCTTTAATACTGTACTAATTCATGAATATTATGTCATAATAATTAATGCTGGTGAATTAGTATTAATGGTTATTTAAAAATTTAATATAAAATAATATAATCGCAAAATAACTCATTTAAGAAAAAGGAAAGTTAACATATAAAAAAATTAATGTTGGTAGTTTTAAAAGTAGTAGATATTATTAGGAAAAAGAATAAAATTTTGCTGTAAATAATACCGTTAATAAATAATTTGCCAGTATTTTGTACTGATTTTCTAATTCCTACTCGTTACAATTAGTTAAGAATTAACGCATTTATAATAATGTAGTAATTCAAAGTATAAAATACAAAACAATTTCGCATGAGCAATTTAAAACATAATGAATTATAAGATATTATTATAAGAAGAATTAAAATTTATACTTTTTATGAATTATTTTATAGTTCTCAATTGATTATTTTCCATTAATACAAACGTTTGAGCAAAGTATTCGTTTTTATTTATATTGATATAGTTACTATAATTTAAGTATTTTATTTAAAAAAAGATTGTAAACGTATTTAACTATAATTAGATAATTCTTAGATGTGTAACAAAAGCTTTATTTTATTTTTTAGGTGGCAGATCAGCACAATATGTAATTTGTCACAGTTGAGTTTCAACCTCAGAGATTTGCTTCTATGTGTCATTTTTTAATTCCTTTTAAATCTAAGAAGTATAGTACTGACTCTCGGTTTTTATTTTTGAAGGTATAAACTTCCTTTCGAAGTTAATCAATGAACTTTGATACAAGCTGTGGATAATAAAATGGTATATAACTAATTATAAGTTGTTGAAGAGACTAAATTGCCACGACCTTAAATTAATTATGATATGTTATTGAAAGCAAAATGCCAATTTTAGAAATATCGTATTGTCACTCGCTTTTATTTTTGATGATATAAATAAACTTTTTTTACGTTAGTCAACTAACTTCATAACACTATAAATTATAAAAAAAATGTTAAATTATAAGTTATTGAAGTGGCTAAGTGGGCATAACTTTATATAAGTTATGATATGTTATTAAAAGCAAAATGTCAATTTTAGAAATGTGGTATTGAAACTTGCTTTTGCTTTTGAGGCTATAAATAAACTTTTTTAAAGTAAGCCATAACGCACTAAATTAGGAAAATAAAATATTAAATAAGTTATTAAAGTCTCTGAGTAAGCAAAATTTTAAATGATAAGTAAGAGCAAAATGTCCACTTACCCATGAATGGTAGAGCGTGGTTGAAGCAATTTTCTAGCAACTAAAGACAGGTTAGAAGGGATCACAAATGAAATGAGATTAGATGCTGGTTCGAGAAGTGAGTCCTTAACATGCAATGGAATCTCATAAAAATATGGAAATAAATTAAATCACTTTTTAAATTTATTCCTGTGAATACTAAACTTCTATTTTATCTTCCATATCTCCTTTAGAACAAATTAAACTCTCACCTCTATTCACAAATAAAAAGATTAAGATGTGCATCTCTTCTTAAATAATAGTTTTAAACTTCTAAATATATAGAAATGCTTGAAGACAAATATATACTCCTTTAATTTTGTCTCTTTCATAGATTCTTCGAATATGCTAATTCATAAAAAAGCTTATGGTAATATTTTTTCTTAGAATTAAAAGAATTAACACTCCTTAAAAAGGCTCCTAAAAAGTGACACAATAATAAGAAAAACTTGATCTTTAAATTTATTATTTTTAATAAATTTATCATTATTCCTTTTGTGTGTATTATAAATTTATTATTTCAAAGTAAAATTTGTTTTTGAGTATAAATAAATTATTTTATTACATTCTATGTCCTTTCAAAACTGAGATTTAAAATTATTGTTTAGCTGCTTTAACCAGAACTCGATTTGCATGTGATCATTAAAGAAGGGGACGCACACTGATTAAAACAGGCATCAAAAACTGATTACTCAAGTTTCAAACTATCTTTCCATTAAAAATGGGTATTGGGCAACCATAAAGAAGGTGTAATCAACATAATCGTATATGTCATGCTACTCTATAAAGTTATTCTTTGCTGTATAAATGTTTAGTAGGAATAACAAAGCTTTGGATTTTTTTTTAAATAGCTGTAAAAAAAGTGTAGACTTCAGAAGTGAAGTTACAGTATAACTTAACACTATAAAATATACTAGAATGTATGCATTTTTATAATAAATATTCATTTTAATCAGATGTAACTATAAAAAGAGTGAGTACATATTTTTGTGGAATATGACTTTATTTTGTAAAATATTCTTCTTTGTATAAACTTGTCAACAATAATATTTGTTTAACTTGTTATATCTGTAAAAAAGGCGCATACTACTTTAAGTAGAATTGTTTTAGCTAAATTGATATTCTAAAAGAACTTTTTTTTTATTCTTGAAAGATTATTGAAAATACCTGCAATTTTAAATCGTATGTTTTTATGTAATAAATGCAAAACGTGTGTTTAATTATGAACTCATTTCTTTTAACCAATTTATTTAACTTTTGGTTTTTGACAAGCTTTCTACGTATCTGCGAGCTATGTTTGGTTGTATGTGTAACACGAATTCACTGTTATTCTAATACATATTTGTAACTTGATTAACATATTAAATTGTAGTATAACTAATGTTGCCTAGTAATTTTTTTTATTCATAATAAACACTTGCTTTTTTTCTGTTTGTCAGCATTTTTAATTAAAAAAAATTTCAGGATCAATATTTTAACTGTGTCTTGTCTTCATATTATATAGTTCAAACAACACTCATTCTAAAACATTTAGAACTTTACACAAGTATTCCTACATGAAATTTTAATTTACATAAAAGGGGGATATTAAACGTTTGACATTTTTCTAGAAACTAATATTATTAGAAACAAATGTGCTAAAGCTAATGCATGAAAATCATAGGAATCTATAGGTTTTTTTTCATTGGAATTCCCTTAAAAAGTTTGATAAAAAAATTGATTAAAAATAAAGATTTAAAATTTTTTCTTATTTTTAATAAAATCCAATTATTTAAAGGCAAAATTAAATGGCCAGAAAAACGGATGACAAAATTCTAGCAAGACAAAATATCTTTGCTAAATTTTAAAATAGATGCTGAAAATGATAAAGACTGAATGGCCCGAAAGAAAATGTGATTATGAAACTTACACACTTATCACAACTTTCAGATATTTTGAAAGTAAAAGAATTTAAAACGTAATTTGAATGAATTTTGAATATTTTTCATCTGAAAAATATGAACACTTATGAGCCCATTACATTCAAGTACTATATAAGGTATAATAAAATATTCAACAGATATCAAAAACTTAATTATTCAATATTAAAAATTAATAGTTACTAATGATCATTTAACAATGATTATTTAATAACTATCATGTTAGAGGTAATTTTTACTTATTAACATAAATTATATTTATTAATTATAAACAAATTAATTTAAAATCGACTAATTAAATTTTTTAAAATTAATTTTATCAAGAAATTATATGAATAAAATATCACAGAATATTTAAAATTGTGTATCATTTTAAGCAGGGTTGGAGTTTTTGCCGGCAAAAAGGGGTTTTTGCCAGGACAGTGGCAAAAACCTGGTAAAAACCGGCAAAAACTGGTAAAAACCGGCAAAAACCAAATTATCTAAATTGCTGATTAAATATTATTACAAAATACTTGAAACAAATTTAAATCAATCATAAGGAGGTAATTGTTCTCNAAGTAAAAGGATTTAAAACGTAATTTGAGTAAATTTTGAAAACTTTTCATCAGGAAAATATGAACACATATAAGCCCACCACATTCAAGACCAATAAAAAGTGTAATAAGATATTTAATCGATATCAAGAGCTTAATTATTCAATATTAGCGATTAATAGTTTTTAATGATCATTCAACAATGAGAATTTAAGAATTATCCTTTTAAGATAATTATTATTTATTAACATAAATTATATTGATTAATTATAAACAAATTAATTTAAAATAGAGTAATTATTTTTTTATTTAATTTTAATTTAATTTTTAAGTAATTATTTGAATAAAATATTAGAGAATATTTAAAATTGTGTATAATTTTAAGAAATCATTTTAAACCTTAGTCGCGAATTTTTTTTCCCGGCAATATTCTGTCTTATTAATATTTTGTTCAAAAAATAATGTTCGAATACCAAATCCAGCACGTCAATCATACATTGGTAACGATCATGTTAAATAAGTGACTTAACTCAAAATTATGTGAATTTTTTTCAAGATATTTAAAAATTTCTTTCACGAAGCATTTTGAAAAAATATTTTGGTTCATTGAAAAAGGCAAATACTCAATAGCACATAAGCGTGGAAATATATGGGTAAGCTTGATTATACACTAGCTAAAAATCTACTGCATCTACTTCAACATGCAAGCTATTTCCATGCATATATACATCACAAACATACATATATACAGCACAGATCTATATATCTTTCATTAATTTTGGTAATTTTTATATCCTTGAAGTAGCATATTCATTTAACTAAAATGATCATAAATTATTAATGTTATAATTACTTTTATCACTGAATATGCAATAATTGTAATTTCAACATGATTATGTGTTAAATTAAAATGATGAATCTATTATGTAAGAAGAAGCACAATGATTAGAATGATGATGATTAGTATGAAACTAACTTAATTTACATTATTCAGATTTTAGAATTGATTAAATATGTAAAGTTTATTCCTACATTCAATTAACGCTACAATATTCATGTTATTAACTCTTAATGCTAAGTAAGTCACTGGATCTGTAAGTTTGAATGCAATATAAATGTAATCAATTATTCTCTTATTTAACATCCTTTTTCTTAATACGCAACCATGTTGTTAATTATTTTATCATTTAATAGAAAAAATTCGACCAAAACTTAGAATAAATTTAAAAACGGAAGTATTCCGTAAGAATTATTAAAATTTCGGGTTTTAATAATTCTTCCTACTGATTTCTACTGAAAATTGTAAATTCATTAATTACAAAAACTTTAATAGTTAAAAACTATAATTTTAAAGCAAATTTCTACTGTTAATAACAGATACTGAAAATAACAATACATTTTACATAAAATAGATTTATCTAAATCATAAGAAAATTGAGTTTTTCTTATTAACCATAAAAATAACATATTAAATTTATTAAATAACGGAACCGCTATTTTAAAGAATTTAAAATATTATCATACACAAAGAGTCTTTGAAAATCTTGCCTAAAATAATGTCTTTATTTGAATAAAAATGTTTAATTTATAGTATATATTATTTGCTATCTTAATAAAAAAATGTTGTAAAAATAAGAACTAATTATTTAAAATTAATTACACATAATTTCCCGAAGTATATGACTACTAATGGAAAAAAAATAGCCATATAGTCAATTACAAAATCAAACATTTAACCAAATAATTTATAAATAATAGGATTAAATACATTAAGTATTTTCTTTTATTTTTTATTTATAATTTATGAAAATGTCACAATTTTTCGTCACATAACTTAAATATTTTCATTTTAATTTAATATTTCGAGTATCAATAATATTCATTTTTATTATATTAATAAATATATAACGAAATGTTTACGGCATTTTGTTTGTTTAATGATATCCCTTTTATAAAATTAATTTTCAAAATATTTGAACATATTTACACTCAGCTTTGATAAATTTGGTTAAGAGGTATTTTATGAAAATACACAAGAATTTATTTAATTTCTACCACAAGTTATAGTTGCGAGATAACATTTCATTTTACGAGAGTCACTCTCTATTGGCTAGTAAGAAAAATATTTTTTTCACTCTTGTTTATTACTAAGAAAGAACAGTTTCACCTGTGAACAAAGTTTTGATTTCATAATTGGATTTTTTTTTTTTGAAAACATAATATTGAAAAAAATATGCTCATAGATTCGTAGATTCGAAAATGTTTATAAAAAAACCTTTTAAAAGACATTGTCCATTCTAAATACAGTGAAAAAATCTCAAAAAGTGTATTTTCTTTTAACATGAAATTATACATAATCAAATTTTTTAAACTTTTACATAGCTTTTAATTCAAATTTTTTAAACTTTCACATTCACTCACACTCAAACTCCTTTAATAATAAGGAACAAAAGTGCATCATTTTGGAAAAATTTTGCTCTTTTGTTTATTATTATTCACTTTTATTATTATAATTATAGAATTTGTTAGGAAAAATATAGCCAAATAAGAAGAATTCAAGCATTTATAGATTGCGAATCCATGAACGATTTATTCATCTGTATTTATGTTTCGATCAAAACTGGAAAACAACGTATTAAATTCGAATTCTATATTGTTGTTTAGTATCTAGTAAATTATAAACTTAAAGAAAATAATAATTAGTTTAGTAATTAGAGACAAAATCATGCTAACGTCACTCTAAATCTTTAATATTTCAAAAATACAGTATGCAACTTAAAATAATACAGTTGATAAAAAGGAAAAAGATTTAAATCAAAAAAGTTAATAGTAAGTATTAATGGCACATAATGTATATTGCTATCACAGTTTCTTCATTCGCATTTTAATACATTTCAATTAACATAATCACATGTAAATATATTTTAACATAGCAGAAGCATATTATGAAAAGCCGTTTCAAACTATAATTACAATATATGTAAAATTATAAGTAACAAAATCGTTGAAATGAAACAAGAATTAAACCCATTTAAATGTAGAAAATATTGTGGTCCATAGCGTAGAAAAATAGAAATTAGTTAAAGTAAATTTGGAAATAATTAATAAAAAATTAAATTTTCTCTTAAAAAAGAAATTTTTAAAAAGGAAAAATCATAAAACATTTGTGCAGGTTTAAAGCATTTGGGTTTAAATTTTATCAATGATCAGTTTCCAAACAAACTGTAAAAAGTTTGAATAAATTATAAAACAGTCTAAAATAAAAATAAAAAGGAACAAACTTGAAGTAAGACTTGATTTTAAGAGTTTATATTTAAAAAAATACCTTTGAAGTATAAATCTTTTAAACGAAAAATTAGTAAATGAGTTCTAGTTTAAAGGATGCATAGTTCTGAAAGTAACAAGTACATTGCTCTTCCTCACTGTTGACATAATTCATTAAGTTGAACAAGTTATTTTCGTTCTGCAAAGTGGCTCCAAAATAAACAAAAATATAGATCAGTTACCTAATGACCTCAATAAGTTTATTCATAGTAAAAAGTGGCTAAGTATTGAGTAAACACATAACATGCACATAAAGCCGGAATGAGGATTAGGTAATGGTAGTAGCTTAGGGTAGGAGAAGGCATAGAAGGGTTAACATACGCACCACTGACAGGGGTCACACTCGAAGGAGTATCATCTGATCGAAAACTTTCACTCGCCAACGTGGCGTTATCTTCACCGTAATCCACGCTCTCCATCCTTGCATCGGAACCGGAAGCGTCTTCAGACATAATTATTTGCGGAATATCACAAAATTCCTCACCTCCTTTTGATTTCTTCTTGTCGATACTTTCTGTTGATGCTTTTGATTCCTTCTTTTTCACAGAATCTTGGCGACGAAGTTTACTTTTGGCTTCTGTTTCTTCTGCTGATTCAATATCTGCTTTGCGTTTATCGCTGGCACTAGATTTCTTGCTTAAGGACTCCTGGCGAGCCAACGGGGGCTTTTCTACTTCTTCAGTTTTCTTTTTTGAGTCTTGTCTAGTCAAAGAAGGTGCGGACGTCAGGTCTTCAGCTGGCGTCTGGGGCGCAGATAAGTCTGAAGCCTTAGACTTCTTAGAATCTTGTCTAATAAAAGAAGGGGATGGTAAATCCTCAGCTGGTGTCTGTGGAGCAGATAATTCTGAAGCTTTAGACTTCTTGGAATCTTGTCTAGTCAAAGATGGGGATGGTAAATCCTCAGCTGGTGTCTGTGGAGCAGATTTATCAGAAGATTTTGACTTTTTAGAATCTTGCCTGATCAAAGACGGGGGTGGCAAGTCCTCAGCTGGTGTTTGCGGTGCAGATGTGTCTGAAGCCTTCGACCTTTTGGAATCCTGTCTAATCAAAGACGGTGATGGTAGCTCCTCTGCTGGTGTCTGTGGAGCTGATTTGTCGGACACCTTCGACTTTTGGGAATCTTGCCTTTTCAAAGATAATGACGGTAAGTCCTCGGCTGGTGTTTGTGGTGCAGAAGTATCTGAAGTTTTTGATTTTTTTGAATCTTGTCTAGTCAAAGATGGGGGTGGCAAATCCTCACTCGGTGTTTGTGGTGCAGATGCGTCCGAAGCTTTTGACTTTTTTGAATCTTGTCTTGTCAATGAGGGAGCGGATGGCAATTCATCAACAGGTGTTTGAGGAGCTGAAGATTTAGATTTTCGAGATTCTTGTCTCGACAAACTAGGAGGAGAAGTAAAAGTTTCAACTGGCGTCTGAGGTTCAGAAATTTCAGACGACTTAGACGTTTTTGAATCTTGCCTTCCTAGAGAGGGTGTCGAAGGAAGCTCTTCAACTGGAGTTTGTGGAGTCGATTCTTGTGACTTTTTAGAGCTCTGTCTAACTAAAGATGGAGCAGATTGATGCTCTTCGGATGGTGTTTGAGGAGCAGATGATTTCTTTGAACTTTGCCTCGTTAAAGTGGGAGCTGATGGTAAGTCTTCAGATGGTGTCTGAGGCTCAGATGTATCGGATGATTTAGATTTTTTTGAATCCTGCCTCAGAAATCGAGGAGGTTTATCTAGATTTTCAATAGGGGTACCAGGAGCAGGTGAATCGTCTGATTTCTTCTGTTTTTTCACAGAATCCTGTTTTTTGAAACTTGGTTGAGCAGTTTCAGAATCTGTCGGAGTTTGTGGAGCTGAAGAATCGGAACTCTTTCGAGGTTTCTTAACAGATGCCTGTCTTTTTAAAGAAGGGCGTGTATTTTCAGTTTCAGTAGGTGTCTGTGGCACAGATGAGTCTGGAGTAGCGGAAGGTTTCTTATCTGAGTCTTGGCGCTTGACTGGCGTGTCAGGCTCAATTTGCGCTAAATCACTATTAGACTTTGAAATGATCTCTTCAACAGTTGGTGCGATTGGAACAGGTTCCAAACTCGGTTCAAGTTCACCTAAGTCTTCAACAGCTGCAATAAAATTTTATGAAAAAATTTATAAAAATATGTCATAAATTTATTTCAAATTAGTATTAATGTTTTGATATAGAAGAATGCTGGAAAGTTAAATTCATTTAGAAGGAAATCAAAGGAACATTAAAAATACGGAATTTTTATCTCTATATCTAAGCTTAGCTTTCATATAACAAAATAATTATAAAAAATTAATTATACATATTTTATTCACGGAGTAATTTATAATTTTGTAATAAATATAGAAGTGTATAATCTATTTTCTTCAAAAACTCCCATACTCATAATAAATAATTATTAAACATCATTATTAGACTTATCATTATAAGACTTCATTATTTTTATTTTCTAAAAAATTTTTTACTAAAATAGTTTTAACTAAAAATATTATATTTAGCTGAAACGATTAAAGTTATTTAAAAACAATTCAAAGCTATGTGTTTATACTAAATACAATAATTGACTAACTAATTTATTTTATTCATTATGAAAAAGTATTTACTAACGTTTTATAATTAACTTTAAAATTGCTAATAGAAATGATTGCTTTTGAAAATTTATTCAAAACACAAAACATAAAATAATAATAATCTTTTAATCATAAAATAAACAAAAAAATCTTTTAATCATAAAATAATTTAATATTTGTATTATGTTTTGATTCTGTTTTAGTCCTATTTATTAATAAACAAAAACATTTAAATTAATGTTATTAAATAATTTTAAATATTTTTTCAGTCATTAAGTAGAATTACTAAAAGAAAACTCTTTTACCCGATTAAGCAACTATTTTAAGAAATAAAAACAAACGTATGGCATTTATTTACTTCATTCAGTGACCTTGGAATGTCCAAATTATAATTCACAAAAACAAGATAAAAAATTCTTATTTCTGGAATTCACAAAAATAACTTCAAAAGAACAAATAAAAACATCACAAAAGATAAAATATCACATTTCACTTGACAAAAATGGCAGCAGGAGACATCGGCTGAAAATTACTCAATGGGAAATATCACGTCCCAGTTATTTGCAAACACCAATTTTTGAGAGGATATTCCACACAAATGAAACCACTTACGTCCTCTGAGCTGCAGAGGGGAGGTCGACGAGGCATACGGCCAAAGAATTTCGCAGTCGTAAGTTCTTCGGTAAATAATCACAAAAAAATACCATTTGCAAAGTTTGATGAAGACCGGAACCTCCGATAGGGGGCCCCCAAGATCAAAGTGGCTGTAACTATTTTTTTCTTCTTTTTTTCTCTTCCTGCCTCTGAAGATCCCGATTTAGAATGACGTGCCTTTCTGGGTTGCATGAATCAGCTTCTTCCATAGTTTCTGTTTGTTGCAAGAGATTTTGAGATCGTCTTTTTTTTCACACATAATCTAAGCAAAGCAACTCAGAAAGTCTACATATATCTTATTGACGTGATTTCAAAAAGAATTTTTGCAAAAAATTAATTTAAATTGCAACAATAATTATGAAATCGAAAAAGATTTTCATACTTTTTTTTACTTACGAAATTTTTGAACCCCCATGGAAAAATATGGATGGTTTGGGAATAAATAGTCATTGTGTTAGAATAATTTTGAGACATTATTTTTTTTTTGGTACTTAATATGTAAGGAAGAGTGTTATACAGTGCTCAAAAAACGAACACCCAGAACAACTTTTGATCAAAAGATCGGATTGTCACGTCCAGGACTCAATATTAATGGTCTGAGGGCCACACCTTAAGTATGCTAATTAATTAGAGCAGTCAGTATTTTAAGTTATGAAATCAGACAAAAAAATATACTTTTCTGAATAAACGTATCTTTCTTCAACCGATTTAGATACATGATCCTCAAATCCAGCAAACCACATCGTAGAAAATATGTTCCCCATAGTTTGTTCAGGTGAGCGGTCGAAAGTTTGCACCCCCTAATGTTAATTTTACTTTTTGGGTATTTCAACGTATCTCCAGAACTTTTTAAGCGAAATAAAACATTTTTGTACTAATTATATAACTCGTTTATCACCATCTTTCTCTTTTCATGTTTTCATTGAGGAAAATTCTTCGTTACAGAACCATAACTATTAGGGGGACCGGAAAGTAATGTCGGTTCGATGCATTAAATATTCGGTAGCCTTAAAAACCAATTAATTTTTTTCATTTCATTTTTGATCCGGCAATTGAAAGGTTGTTGCTAACGAGGGTGAATACATTATTGATTAAAAATAAAATCTTGAAAAAAAATATCACATGCACCGAAACGATATTACTTTCTGGTCCACCAAATATAAAATGTTTGCTTTTACAGCATTCTTCTCTTTTTTAATTTATTACTAAAAGCAATAATGCTCTCAAACTTCTCAATTTAGCTCTTTTGTTCTATTTTTTAAATTTCAAAGTTTAAAATTTTAGTTTATGAAGAAAATTAGCAAATAAGAGCAACTTTTTACATCCAACAGTGCTTACCGTCAGCAGGATTTGAAGAATTTGGAGATGTAGTGATACTTAAAAATTGCAGTACTTGATTAGTTATGGTTAATAACGTTAAAATAAACAAAGTAAATTTTGTGTATGATTTTCAAACCTAAATAGCTATCTGTAAGTCTGATCACGTGTGACTTTAAATACCTGTCTTGTCAATTATAGTCTTCATATTAATCAAATATTACATTAAATGACTTTCACTACAATCCTAATCCTCTTTCCCTTAACGAACATTTGAAAATTTACATAAAATATAAATAACATGAATTTGATACTTTTTGGATTAAAATCTTTTTTGAGATATACCAAGAAAAGCGAAAAGAATAAAAAAATAACTTGAAGGGATTTATAAATAAATAAAATAGAAATTGGTACCCCTTAATAACATTAATTCAAAATTCTGAAAAATGATAATGTTTCAATGCAAAATTTTCCCATAAAAATTTAAAAAAACAAAAGCTCAAAAAGTACATGTGATTTTAAAAAAGATGTATTTTATTTCATTTCTAATTATAATATTACATTTCCTTCGAAATAAAACATATTATAATCTAAAAAATTACTCTGCTATGTCAGGAATAGGCAAAAAGTGGCCAAATCACTGACCGTAAAAATACATTTAAATTTATACATTAAGCTGTCGTGATTATAAGAATCCAAATCTGCCCGTAAGTTTTTCTCGTCAAATGTATGGAAACTGTCCGCAATTTACACTGTATTAGTACAAGTTATAATCAGTTTGGATCTAGACGTTATTAAGAGGCTTGCGTCGCGTCAAGACGAAGCATGGAACGAGACAATATAGTGTGGTGCTGCCATCTCTCGATGAACGTGCGGGTTGCGTGCTCGTTGTTACTAAAGTCTTAATGTGGAGAAAGTATGAGTAGTAAGTGAAAGTGGAGATGTTTTTTGGCACTTGCTGGATTCGCACCCAGGATCTTTGTGTTCCTAGTCCAATTCTGATCAGGAAGCTTTTTATGATAACCGCACGAATTAACTTTATACTAATTTTGCTGGTCCCGCAGTGGACTGATCCTTAAGACACGGTTGACAGCAGATCACCGAAATCAAGCGTCACTGACTGTGGTCAGTGTGCGGGTGGGTGATCACTTAGATTAGTCTGCGTAGAAACCGAGGGTGTGCGGTATTGGTCCTCGTTACATTGTTCTACCGTAAAGTGCTCGACTTTACGTGCAGGTCGTCGGGTAACCGAAACGGTGGTGCCATCCCCTCAGCAGCGAATCAAAATTGTGATGGCATGTCATCGGACCATCCTCAGGAATGTTTCCCAGACCGTCGCCAATAGCCCATTGTGCAGTTCTAGTGCCACGTAGATGAACTACAATAACAACTAATTTTGCTCAATACAATTACTGGCACTGAGCTTTTCTTGTCAAGAAAGGGAACTGGCTTTCTTAACAAATCCTACTAAGCTAGAGGAAGCACGTTATAATTACAGGCACTGGGCTTATATAGCAAAAGAGCTAGTCTTATAAATTAATGGCCAGCTTTCCGAATTTTAACGGAAATATCTTATAATATAGTTTGTAAAGATATATCAAAAAGTTCGAATATAATGGTGTATATTTACCTTGATTGGCTGAGTTCAATTCTTTACACCAGGCAACTTTTTGTTCAATGCTCCTAGCTTTCAAAGTGAGGGGAAAACCTGATCTATTCTTCTTGTGAGATTTGAACAAGATCTTTAACGCATCTGTTTCAACATTTTCAACCATTTCCACATCCTGAAGCTGAAGGAAGAAAACATTCTAATAAATATAAAGATTTTTAGTCTTAAATGCTTAGAGTTCTTACTTTTTGTTTTCTTTTTTTTTTTTTTTTTTTTTTTTTTTTTTTTTTTTTTTTTTTTTTTTTTTTTTTTT